TTAGTATACTATTTATACTATTAGTATTTATATTAGTATTTGTCATTTAATACAGTATTCATCTTATCGTTGAATTTATAACTTAATTAACAAAACATATCCCAAAATAGGAGCGCATTCTGAATGAAAAACAAAAACTCTTGAGATTAAAGAAAATTGAATTAAACCGTAAGAAACGTCACCCAAAAGGACTTGACTTGAATTAAAATACATGAATAACAACAAGACTGCCGGTTATATGAGATATAAAATTAATAAAAACATTTCACTCAAAATTATCAAAGAGTTGACTCAATTAGAGACAAAACACGAAAATATAAGGACAAGGATTACGAAATTGGAGGTCTATTTGAAACTAACGGATAAAAACGATAGTTTAAAATGATTTATATTCTTATTTGATATGAATTGTATCACAATTTTTATGTTTGTATTAAATTTATTATTTTAATGAAGAAATAATTTTTTGTATAGAAATCAATGTTCTATTCGGTGACAAAATTTCTATTACCGGTAATTGTAATGTTTGTAAAATCTAAATAAAAACATTTTAAAGAATTGATAATAGAATTTATTTGAAACAGAATTTTATTCACAAATTAAAGAGAATTCAATTAAAATATAAAACATTTTTTGTAATAAAAATTTAGAATGATTTTCATATTCTTGTCATTGATGTCGAGGATGTCATGAATATGTTTAACTGAATCTATGGGTCACCCAAACGCCTATCAGTCCCAAAGTGAAGCCTATGAGGAAAGCCGTGGGACCGGCACTGCCCTCCGAGTCCTCCATTGACCACTCCTTCTCTCGACCACTCTTTGTCTTCTTGACACTACTGGTACCGCTTGTGCTCCCAGTCTTTGACACAATCTTTGACACCATTTTGTTATTTATTTCTGTTTAGAGATTTAAAGTTTAGGATTTCAAACCGTTATATAACTTTGAAATTCAAAAATAATAACAAAATCTAAATTAGATTTAATTTAATACAGAATTTATTGAATAAATATGAGAATAACAATAGAAATAGTCTTTCATTTAAATTAAATGATTTAATATAAATCTAAATCATAAGAGAAATCGTTATAATATTCAATTCAATCGTATAAATCAAAGACAAGAAATGAATAACAAAATGGTGTCACAGATTGTGTCAAAGACTGGGAGCACAAGCAGTACCAGTTGTGTCAAGAAGACAAAGAGTGGTCGAGAGAAGGAGTGGTCAAATGGAGGACTCGGAGGGCAGTGCCGGTCCCACGGCTTTCCTCATAGGCTTCACTTTGGGACTGATAGGCGTTTGGGTGACCCATAGATTCAGTTAATCATATTCCTCGACATCAATGACAAGAATATGAAAATTATTTCCAATATTTAGACAAATTTTTTATATTTTAATTGAAATCTCTTTAATATGCGAATAAAATTCTGTTACAAATAAATTCTTTTAAATATTTTTATTTATTTTCATTAATGAATACTGTTTTCTGTAAATCAATTCATATATGAATTGTCATTATGTTGTGTCTCATGGAAGGCCTGTTTGGCTAAAGACATCAAATGAGTGGACATTTCGGGACCTGTTTGTTGGACTAACTTATAGAACATTCCGTTAGTATTCTGTAAGAGAAGGTACGGTCTGTCGAACTCTTGGATTCTTCCGGAGTCCAAAACCATAACTCTGTGGCAATCGATAATTGTGTTGAGTCTGTGAGCGATTACCAGTAGAGTTGAGGTCTGGAAGTGATGTCTAATCGCTGTCTGAATGAGAGAATCGGTTCTGTGGTCGACATTAGCCGTCGCCTCATCTAAGACTAGAATACGACTCCTCCTGAGTATAGCTCTCGACAGACATATGAGTTGTCTTTGACCGGCACTCAGATTGGATCCGCTTTCAGACAACTCGTAGTCCAATCTTCCGGGCATTTCCATCACCGCGTCCTTCAGCTGCACCTCTTCGAGCACTTCCCACAGCCTGTCGTCCGAGTGCTCTGAAAATGGGTCCAAATTTCTGCGAACAGATCCGATGAAAGCGATGGACTCCTGAGGAATGATTGATATGTTTCGACGCAACTCGTGGAGAGGTATTGTCGTGATGTCTGTGCCATCGATAGTGACTCTGCCTTTGAATCGATGCATACGGAAGAGTACCGCCAATAGAGAGCTCTTTCCAGCGCCGGTTCGGCCGACGATTCCCACTCTCTCTCCGCCTTTAATCTGACAATTGATTTCAATTAACGTCTCATTCGTTGAGTTCTCGTAAGTGAGACAAACGTCTTGGAAATGAATGCTTCCCTCGAGTGGCCAATCGGGGCATACATTGAGACGACTGTCCGCCTCTTTAGGCGACTCTTCCGACTCGAGTTCACTGTATTCGAGGATCCGTTCAACTGATGTCATCTGATTCTCCAAATCTGCGGCATTTCTGACGGCATACTGAATGGTATGCATTAAACCCATAGTTGTATTCAATATAAGACCAGCCGTTCCTCCGCCCATACCTTTAAAGTAGACATAAATATGAAAATTGAAATAAATTATTAATTTTAAATTTTATAAATAAATTCATACCATCACTGAATACCATTAACATAATTACCACAAAAATCATGTAAAATAAGTATACGATTTCCAATAGAAATCCTTTTAATTATTAGAAATTATAATTTAAAAATTCATTTTTCAAATTCAAATAATGACTATCTGTACCAAAAGCTCTGGAGGCTGAGAAACACATGACATAACTGGTGGTGTGATTGTCTTGAAAGCGATGGAAGTCTTTCAAGAAATGATCCTTTGCTCTGAATGCCCGGATCGTAACCAAACCATTGATGGTTGTGGTGATCTGATCCAA